ATATAATAACTAAAAAAATTAAATTAAAATACACCATATTGATATGAAAAATTTTATTATGTAAACATAAATATCCAATAGATGGGTAGGTGATTCTAAGTGAACGATTTGCTACTTATGCTTTAAATTCAGATATAATTTCTCTATTTTAATGAGGAAGCTCATTTCGTTTTCGAGGTTTTCCAAAAAACTACAGCATGGAGTTTTTTAAAATAAGGGTAAAGAAGTTTCTACGGGATCGACAACGCGCACGTAATACCTCTAACATTGCTGACGTAGGTTACGGTAACCGCTTACCATCAGGTGAGCCGTACGCTTGTTGCCACCTCAGTGGTATAAAAAAATATAATTTCTAGACTAAATACTAGATACGTGAAGACAGCAAGAGAACTGACGAGATGTCCTTGGTACCTTGGAGGATAGGACGTCCGCTTGTATGGGACTTCACCTGCATCGGCACGGTGTCGCCGTCTCACCTTCCAAGTACATCCAAGAGGGCTGGTGCCGCCGCAACACTCCAGGAGACTATCAAATCGCCGTAAATATTCATCCCTTGGAAATGGATATATATTTGCGGCGTTTGAAGTCTGGCTCTGGCTCTCTGGGTCCGTGGGGCCCCGAAGCCATGAATCTTTTCAAAGAGATTTTACGCCGGCTGGTAGAACCCTCTGGCGACCAGAAGGGTGGCCTTACTTTGATCAACGCAATTCCATAACTATTCAGCGTGGAAATGCAGCAAGTCTCCTAGGTACCATACCAGCTGGCAGTGATCTCAAAGAATTTTTTTTATATAATATTAAATTTACAATTATGTTTCTACACTTACCTAATGTCTAGATTAGATACTACATACGTGCATATTATTAATTACTCGCGTATAAGTCGCAATTTACTTTATAAATATAAATATTTTATTATCAACAATTAGCAAACCTATAAATAATTCTAATTTGGACATATACGCCTATCTAGTCATGTGAATGCCATTACTAATATAACGTATTAAACTAGTAAAGACATATTAAATCCATAATCAAGAAGTATTTTGTTTTCTTAGATGAAGGATTGTGTTTTAATAAAATCAATTTCAATTATTTATTATTTTCTGAATATATTATATTATAAAAATAGACTTTTAAATTTTATTTTATTTAAAGGTTGCTTTTAACATCATCTGTATTACCAAATATTAGTTTATTCTTGTGGTATTGTCTTGTTTTGTCAATTGAATCAGTTAACTGAAACCACTCAGTACTTTGTGTAGCAGACGTAGGCGCTTAGTTAATTAACGTTTCTGTATTAATTCAAAGAAGCACCTCTTGGAATTATCGAAGTTAAACATAGCCCGTTACGATGCTATCTATATACACAGCGGTAACATTAAATATCAACAAACAATTGTACCATGCATAAAATTAAACCAATTTATTGTATTTATCAAATAAAATCGTACAATAATAAATTACCTATGTGGCTACCAGAAAACTGATTCACTATGCGTAACAAACAATTAATATATACTTTCGTCTATGTGTGCATTGTTCGAAGAATTCCAAAGAAATAATAATTTCACCTTGTTTCTTACTTTTATTGCCATATATTTTATACTAACAAAAAATTAATGTACAAATGAAATATTTATTTCTAAGAATCATGGAACATTTATGTAGGTTTCATGAATTTTCTGACGATTACCTCATTTTGATTCTTGACATAGGTATATTGCATGCCATGTTATGAATATAATTATATTTACTAGGGCAATTTATTGCTCATTGATTAATACAACAAATTAATCTCTCCATTATTACATATTCACGCCCTATTTACCTACCCCTGCCTCTAATTAAATTATCGCGAGATTGTAATGGTTTCTATACTGTTATGCAAATTTCATCATGTATGTCCATCTGTTCGCCAGTCACGGTATTGATGGCTGTTAATATAGGACTAACCAATTAATTGATATCTAGCTTGTAACTCAAATTATAGAGATACATATTATTTCACCAGAGAGAGATTTTGTACAAAAGTCGATTGCTTGGGTACCTCTATCCCATTCGTGTTTCTACCGTGAAGCAGTTGTATTTGCATGGCTGTATTTCGGTTTGAAGAATGGGATATGGCGTGAATTTACAGGATACAGAGGAATAACACCTGAGTGTCAACGCATAGGAGTATCATGGGTAAAACAGTATATTCTGTTATGTCCATAGTACTGCTCATGTCTATAGGCGACGGTTACCACTTTCCATCAGGTGGGCCGTCAGCTTGTTTGCTATTCTAAGTTGTATAAAAAAAATTATCCTCGCAATTAGACAATTGAAACTTTTAACAACTTCCTGATTTGACGAGAAACAACGAATTAAGTCAGACTCATGTAATGCAGGCTCTGTATTGTAATTTAAAGGGTATAAAAATTAAAAGGTAACCATATCTAGTCAAGGTATTTAATTTTTTTACCATTTAATTTTTAATCCAACCGGTTAAACGTGATCGGAGAGAGATTGTTAGTAATGCGGACTACTTATCTCGTTGCTAGCAATATATCCTGTCAGATCGACTTTCACGTGGTCTTCCTGAAAACCACCGTGTTGACTTCCTAGTGACATCACGAACATCATCTATTAAAAAAAACTAAAACGTCATGCCAATTAGCCCATAGTGACGAATTCACCAAGAATTAATCACAAGTTTCAAGAGGGACCACGAGGACGTTGCCCTTCTACTCGTATTGCCAGCAATGGGGTCGTCAAACCCCACTGCTTATAATCCCGTTCCCTCTCTTGGTACCGTAATAGGTAGGTACCTTTTACCTGTGCTCAAATTTTAACCAGAATTATCTTAGAAATACGTTGTTTTCTTAGTTTAAATCATTTGATTAAAAACATGACTCATAACTAAAGTTAATTTTTCAAATTTGTTAAAAAAAGTTTGCTAATTAGAAATATCGTTCTACTTCTTATGTGGATAATATTTATTTTTTTGATTAATAGATTATGAACATAATATTTATTTACAATTATAATAAAGATTCATTTAATCTGTAGAACCATAAAATTCTTCAAATGATTTCACTAAATGGCGTGCCACTAAAAATATCAAATATTGTCAATTCCATTTAAGATGTACCTATTGTAATCATACAAATATTATGTAAATTGAAATCAATACAGTAAAAAAAATTGTAAATTGATATTAATGATAATGAAACTATTAATAAAAAAACCGATTTGGATTCGATTCAACGACACCGATCGTGGCAAAACCAGTTACATTGATTTAAAAACTAAAGTACTGAATTGATTCTGATAAAATTTCTATTAGACTAATCTGTAAGTACCTTTCAGATAAAAAATTTCCAAATAAGTTTAAACCTTCATAACTTCATTATTATGAAGTGACAAACATAAAAAAGCATACAACTGATTTGAGAACCTCCTTCTTTTTAAGGTCGGTTGAGAAAAATATTAACAGCCAAACTTCTCTTCAATTTATTCACTTGGCTTCCGAACGTAATTTTAGTTATAAATTTAATAACTTTAATCAATATTAATTATATTTGTTTTTTGTTCCACAAAAAATTAAATTCAAGCGTGACAATATTTCTATAGAACATCTTAGGTCAAAAGCCTAAGAAGTGTAATTGGTTTTACATTATAATTTTTTATATTAACTTTGCGGTTTTTTATATATATTTAGTCTACTTTAATAAGAATTATTTTATTATATTTGACTTATTAAAAGTTTTAATTAAGTGGAAACCTTTTCTTCCCGCAATATAAAAATAAGGAAAATTATTTTCAATTACATTTTCATTCGGGCGTCAATATTTTAAAGTATGACGCTGTGATTACACACACAGGTATATCAGTGTTCACGTATTTGTTATTATTTCATTAATCGATTTGTGTTCCTTTCAGTGATATTGCATATAACCTGCTCTTTTTATGTAAAACTTCTTTTATTTCTAACATTTTCCTCGAAATTTGGTATTATGAATGTTTTTGAAGATGAAAATGGTATAATCTAAATAAGCTTATACCTGGAACTTGTATATAACGTAAATTATCTCAGTTCCGTTTTCTTGTTGTATTCCCATGAAAAAATGTCGTAAGAATTTTTAGAACGCTTCAGGCTATTGAAAATATGTAAACTCATTTGATTATAAATTATGCGTGTATACTATACTGCAAAAATATTTGATTAGGTACGTTTAACGAAATTTAATTAAGTTACCGCATACTTAAGTTTTATAAAACCAATACTTGTAGATTGAAACTTTTGTCGGCGTAATCGATTTGCCTCAAAAAACGAACGTCGGCCAAATTTGCCTTCAAATTAAATTACTTATTCACGTTGTTCACAGGTGTTTAGATATCTAAGTTAACTTCGGCTTATATAAATATTTCAAATTAGTTTAGTTTTTTTTTGTATTTGAATCTCCGCGGTAACTTCACTGAGTGAAAGTTTTATTGTACAATCAAAATAAAGGGTACAAAATTTTCGTACAGTAAATTAATTATAGGTATCTAGTTTATCTGCATATTCTCTTAATTTTTTCAGAATATTTTTACTGAACGTATATATAATACATGTACATATATATATATATATATATATATATATATATATATATATATATATATATTCTACAACAAAAACCGATATTATATTCGTAACAAAATTGATACGGGTCAACAATTACGACACTGGAAGTAAATTTATACTATTTGTGAAAACAATTATCAAACATTGTTCATATTTGTTTATTATATGTACGTATACAGTAAAATTAAATTGAATATTGTAATGTATCGCTTTAATTTTCGTCTACTAACAGATATACACAGTGTGTGCACGGTCTAAAGAGCTTCCTTTATATATGTCTATCAAACGAAATAGAAGCCACACTTTTAAATGAACCCGAATTACTATTCCTGTTCCATTTTAAAGTGCGAAACATGTACATAGCTATTAACTGTCTGTTTACATTGCAGGTGGTGGAAGCGCTACACTACTTGCATTACACTACACACCAGATACATCGCAATGTGTGCCCGCAGGTAATCATTGTGACCAAGCGAGGCACTTGGAAATTATTCGGACTAGAATTTATTGGTACGTATTATAACTTCCTTATTTACTTGGAAATTGCTTCATTAATGGAAAAACAAGACGTAAATAAACATGTTCTGTGTTCTCAACGAAATGCTGGATATTGAGATTTTGTTTAATTTTTATTCTCGACATGTTAATGACAAATATTAATTAACAGTGGTTACCTACACATCTGGCAGATTTTTTTAATTATTCTGTGATTAAATATAGACAGAGAACGTTAGTAAGTACTTACCTATATACGCAGCTTTATCCATAGAACCAAAAATATTAGCATAAATTATGTAGGTATTATTTTCAATATGCAGAAAATATTATTTATTATTTTATTACAGGCTGAAGCCTTAACGTGAACGGTCAATAAATAGGCAGTTAATCAAGTAATTAGTGAAGTAATTTAAATTAGAGAAAAGTAAAGTCTCGGCGAAAGTAACAAGGGTCTTGTTATTTTAAAGTCGGGCACCTCGTCTTTTTAAAATTATCTCGAAAGTACTTCTTAAGTACTTAAATCTTGACCTTGACCTTCCAATATAACTCGACTGTCAATTGCTTTAATTTCCGTAGTCGACGGTAACTCTGATGTAGCACAAGTGATACTAATAAAACATTTATTATATTTTTTTTAAGCTAGGCCACAAAAAATGATTGGTATAAAAGGCACAATTAATGCTATATAGCTATACGCTCAGACAACTTGGCAAAACAGAAATGTAATTATGCGGTGAAAATTTGTAAATTGTTGTATATAAATGGTAACAAACTTATCCATATTGACTTATAATTTATTACCCTTATACTTACTCGTTTATAATTAATTTAATTGAAATTGAGAAAATCAGTAAATTATTAGACAATATTTTGTTTGAGTTGTGGGTAACAAAACAGATGACAAAATAGAGGTATAATGCAAAAATGGACGAATTTGATTCTCTCATCATTTAGAGTCTATTAGACTGAACGTTTGAAAAAAAATATTATTTTCCTATTACGTACTGAAATATACGAGTATTTTTATTTATATAAAGATTTTTTAACACAAAAGAAAAGTATAATATAAAAATTTAATATGCATCAGTACCAGATATTTATAAAACAGAATAAATTTATTCAAATCATCCAATTAATAAAGCAATTGTTTCATGTCTTCATACTAAACAAACTTAACTATGCTGTATATATGGCACATATGTGAAACATGGATTGTATTATGTTCCAATCTTCGTACTTCCATTGTTATATATACTCTTACTAGCTTTTTATTGCAACCCTGTGTATAACTATATATTTCAAAAGTCATCTGAATGGGTGACTCTAATTGCATAGTTTTGTTTCAGTTTGAATGGTTGGAATATGACAGTTTAATGGCAATGCATTAAGAGAATGGCACAGTATTTTGTAATCTCCATAATCATGTCTATAGGTGACAGTTACCACTTTGTATGGAATAGGCACTTTACATTCCAGTGATGAAAAGCAAATAATTAACCACTGCACTCTAAGCTTATCTCGCTCACGACACGCACCAGAATTATTCACAAAATTGAAATACTTTATCGACTGAATAGTAATGAAATGGCAATTAGTATTCAAATAATTACTAACTTGCTACCTTTATACAGTGTACTTCATTTCTGGCTATTTTTTTAAATTTTGTTATATCCCACTACCTATCAATAGAAGACACAATCAATTTTAATGCAATGCCAATGACCACATTGAGATCACCAGATTACAGATGCAATTATGACAAATGTATAGCCAGTCAATATGCAATTAATATCTGTATTTAGTACAAATCTATTATTCTACGTACTACTATATATTATTTGTATATTGTACAGAACACACTAAACTTTACTTAGATATAGCTAATGTTATAATATAGCCATTTATCCTACTTATGTTATTTGCCACTTTCTTTTATTTCATGAAATCGTAAGGAAATATAATGTTTCCAGTGGGAAATACAGACGAACTGTCACTCGATAGTCATTTCTTCAGTGACAATGGGATCAGTCCCGTGTGACTACTAAATCGAAAAAAAAAACCATTACTCTTACAACTTGTAAAAATACAGTTTATTTTGTACTTTCTTCTTAAATATGAAGCAGTAGGTTATATATTTTATTTATTTCCATTAAATTATATATATATATATATATATATATATATATATATATATATATATATATATATATATATATATATATATACTTATTTCTTTTAATTTATATATATGTGAGTGAATACATCTTTTAATTTTTTTTGTATACTGCCATTTGTATGCTCCCGGTTAAGTTTTAAGTTAGCTCTAATACTCAGTGAATACTTATATTCTTTTAAGAGATAAATACCTTAAATCATACATCACAAAAGATCTTACGTGTGCTTACTGTCCTAAAACCATTTTTATCATTTAACAGTAATAAATTGTATCATGTTAGAGCAATAAAATTTGACATTTGATAATTATTAAGTCATAGAAGTGTTCTATTTAATTTTAATAGTGAGCAAATGGAATCTATGTACTTTGATTCTGCTCGTGTTTGACAATTTCATAACAACCCCAAATACCTAAATAGTTTCTCATGCATGATACATTACACAATATTTATCAGTATGAATCGCTTTATATGATAAAAGCAGACTCGAAACAATGAAGGTCTTATTTAAAACTGTTGTAAACAGTTTACATAGATTTAGTTCTGTATGAACGTTGTTATGTATTTTATTTATATTGTGAACTTTAGTCATTCCGAATAGTCATGCTACATTTTTTCGACTGAATCAATAATTTTGTTGACTATATATATAATCATGTAATTAGTAAACAATATTGCAAATTATCGCAATAGTAATAATTGCGCACAATTCGTTTCTAAGAACTTGAACTTCATGGTTATACCATAATAAAATTTGCCATAAATAGATGCTATTATATTAAAAAAATTATATTTTAACATACCTATTAAAAAGTATTAAAATCTTACTCAATTACTTGCTGAGACAGCTTTCACAACAATCAAGCCTTTCGTCAGAAGCACTTTTGATTACATTGCAGCCACTGGCACTCTGAAACTCATTTGTTACTTAGTTGCTGCTGCATTTCTTAACTGTCAAATATAAATCCGCTTTTAATGACACTCTGATGAATAAGAAATCTCTAGCGGCATCTGTGCATCGGACAACGATATTTAAGTAACAACCACGTTAAAGATATTAACGATTCTCTTTTGTGTTCTCCTCGATCTTTATATCTATGAACATTATTCAACAATATTTTTCTAGTATATTCGTATATTGTTAGATTTCTACCCGACAGACTTTCTTTATATTAACTTCAAATCTCTCGCAAAATAGCCAAATAGAATTCAGTTGACATACCTATTTTTTATTTACGTAAAAATACAGGAAATATCTAATAATTAGTTACACAATTAGTTTGTTATTTTACAGCTAAATACTTATAAAATTCACATAATATGAATTACTTGAAATTTTAATGATGTAGTCGAATGTCTGGACTAAATTAATTTTATACCTACTTACAAAAATTTCCAGACACGACAGTATAGCGTTTGAACAAATTTAGAGTTTACTCATCTGTCATGCTCGGGAATCAATGCTTCTTGTATAGTCTTAAAGATTCTTGTCACCACCATCAATTTAATTTATTACACATAAACACATCTTACATAACATCTTCTTTCTTATTATTCAGGTAACTATGACTCGCGGCTTTATTTTCATGAAATAGATTAAAAAAACCTACATATTAGCTTATCAAATGAACTACCACCTGTTATTAGCAGATTTAATAGTATCCATAAAGCGGTTTAATCGTAATCGAGAAATAAATATTAATACATATTATGGGAATAAGTATTTGGTACCTTTTATTAATTAATATTGTAATCTTATACTACCAAAATCCGTTAATATTAATGGAAAAATGGATTGTTTGTAAAACAGTTTATAAATACAAATTTTTTTAACAACTTGTAAATCAATTATTCTGAAACTGTTTAGATAAACGTATTAATCTTAATGTCGTGATTAGGTAAGTGGCAGCCTACGGTATAAAATTGGTACAGGCTATTTACGGAAATGGAGCGGAGGGTTGTATGAATTTTATTGACGCGAAAAAGTCGTTAAAAAACTTTACAACTTATAAAAAGAGTCCTAACATTTGATTTTATAATAGAAATATACCTACACTTGAGAAGGTTACATAGTTTTTTATATATATATTTAATGTCAAGTCTAAATTATTAATGTTTCTGGAGGACTTAAAAGAAAATATATAATATGATATATACGTGGGACACTTAGAAAGTTTTGCTACACTAAAAAAAAATGTTCTATAGGTAAACATATTTTTATTACATCTTTTCAAAGTACTCTCCACCAGCCTCTATACAAACTTTCATGCGTCTGAACCAGTTTTTGAATCACTTTTTCCAGTCCGCTGCAAACACCTCGTTTACAGCCTGCTCGAACACTGAGAGCGCATCATCCGGCAACGAAAATTGTATCCCATTGAGCTGATTTTTTTATTTTTGGGAATAAGAAGAAGTCACACGATGCTAGGTCAGGGCTGTAAGGAGGGTGACCCAAGAGTTTGATCAGTGTGCTATTTAGGAAGTCCCTCGTTTTGATTGCGGTGTGGGCGGGCGCATTATCGTGGTGGAGCAGTAGCCCTATGTTCAGTCGCTTGTTGCTCACAACAGAGAAAACTTCTGCCAAGCATTTGGTAGTATATCATTCGGCGTTAATACTTCTTTGGTTTCGTAAAGGAATTGACACCAAGTAGCCAGTCATGCATGAATTAGTTGCACCGACAAGAAGAAACTCTTAAATCAAAAGAAAAAAAGAGCTAGTCAAATTGAAAAAGCTCGTGATCAAAATCATCCCCCCGCTTCTAAGTCGCTTTACTTTGGTAAGCGTTCATTCGTTTTGAAAAACCCAAACCGTCGACAGGCGCTTTGTTTCTGGATCGTATTGATAAATCCAGGATTTATCACCTGTAACGATGTCGTAAACACGCCGAGACGAGTCTGCTTCAAATTTGTCTATCATATCATGGCACCATTCTACCCTTGCCTGCTTCTGAACATCGGTGAGGTTGTCCGGCACCCAGCGTGAAACTATCATCCGCACCCGTAGATGCACGTGTGGAATCTTGTGAAGGCTTCCTGATCCAATCTACAGTATATGCTGAATCTTTTGGTATGTAGCTCGTCTCAATAGACGAGTGTAAAAAAATAGATAATAGACAATAGTGAAAAATTTGATCCAAGACAATTCTTGAATAAAATTTTTCACTGTTCAACAATTCAATATAATTAATATTCAATCGGTAACTGTTCTGTCACCTCTCTCTTGTCCAAAGACAAAGGCCTCCTCCAGAGTCTTTCATTCTATTCTGTTTTTGGCTATCCTTGTCTAAAGTGCACCTGCTACTGCTTTTATATCTGTAAACCATCATGTCAATGGTCTTCCCTGTCTTCTTTGGCCTATTCTAGGGTACCAGTCTGTTACAGTTGTTGTCCATTTTTGTGTTTTTTCTCGCATAATATGTCCTGCCCATTTTCATTTAATTTTTTTTATTTTATAGATAACATTTTTGAATTTTGTTTTCTCTTTAATGTCTACTAATTTAACCCTGTTCTTTATTTTTATGCCCAAGACACTTCTTTCTATGCTGTTTTGACATACTTTTAATTTTTTAAGATTTCTTTCAGTTAATGGCCATGTTTGATACCCATATATAAGACAAGGTAATATGCATGTATCAAAGACTTTCTTTTTATCATTCATAGATATATATTTGTTTTTTATGATCTCTTTTAATGACTAATACCTATTCCATGTATTGGCGATTCTCCTGTCAATCTCTTTGTTTGTGTCATTTGCAAGAGAAATTATTTGGCCCAGATATAAATATTCTTCAACATATTCAATGGATTTTCCATTCAATGTTATGTTTGTGTGTATGCCCTTTGTTAATACCTTTGTTTTATTGATATTGATAGACAGTCCAGCTTTCATACTCTCATTTACTAGTTCTTGAACCACGTTTTCAGAGCTGTCTGTGAGGAGAACTATGTCATCCGCAAATCGTAAGTATGTCAAATACTCGCCATTTATATTCAAACCATAATGTGTCTACTCCATTTTTCGTAATATCTGTTCTTGTACAGTTGTGAATAGGTGCAATTAGGGATATAAAACACAATTGATACATCAATGCGCTAGAAAAAAGAAGCTTGAGATAAAACTTTATACCGAGTCATCAGCGTGATAGAATTAAACAAAATCCCTTCCTTACTTAATCTTAATAGCAGATACTTAGTACTAGTACCAATAAGATAAATAGCAAGTTAATTATTGTGATAACAAATAAAAAATATAATAAGAAATGTCATTACTGTAAGAAGAAGCACCACTATGTATGATCCTATGCTTAACATAGATCTCCTGAACTTGCAGATAGAATGGTCCTGAGCCATCTGGTATCAATCGATGTACTTATAATAAAATGTATAGGATTTCACCCCTCCTAGTCTATTGGGTTTATGGTGCAATGAATGACTAATTTAATATATTAATACATAATACTAGTTTTTACCCACGATTTGCGTTACCGGATTATATTGATTGATTGGGAAAAAACATCGTTATCTACATCGCTTTATATAGTAACGATTGGATATCAAATATGTCTATGTGCAATCTATTGATATTATATAAAATCAATATTATAATTTCAATTATACATGGATTGAGTTTTAACTTTATTCCAACATCGCTTTCAATAATAATTAGATTATTTCCTATTTGTAAATCACGTAAGCCCGTTAATTTTGTTAATGTCATATAGCACTCTCTATTTTCTCGTCCATCGATACGAAAATTAATCGAGTTAAGGACAGGTAAATACCCCTCGACTACAGGATACGATTATTATAATAAAGTTTTTACCATGTACAGAATGAATATGTACCTATGTGTCAGTAGGTTTTCAAATTCTTATTTTTCATTATATTACACTAGCACTATACTATTTGTATTTCAAGAAACTACAGTTTCTATATTGATTAATAATTATTTAAATAAAATGTTCGTATTTTAATAATATTTCTAGTTAAATAAAGTTTATCTTGACTTTTGATATTAACTTTGAAAAATAATTGCGAAACGCTATGAGGAAAAACAAAGAGAAAGCAAACAGGAAAACCCCGTGTAAATTGACCCTGACTTTGATAGAGCAACGACCCCGACCCCCTGACCCTGTGGAAGTTGAGGGAGGCTTACGTTCAGTATTAACGAACGACAAACGGGTTAAATGATAATTCTGATGCTTAAAAAATGTACGAGCGTTACAATGAACTACTTATTTTTACATTTATTTAAATTGATGATTTTTTAACATTTTAGTAATTATAACCAGATGATATATGACTACAACTATAAAATCAATTTGGACAGTTCACTTATATGCAAACTGCGGTGCTTAACTATGCCTAAGTTATGCTGAAGTCTTAAGCTTAGTTTTACTTCGTCATAATATTATATTGTACTACATTCACTGGTCCTACATGGTCCCACTCTTCTTATATTTTATCTAGCATTTCATACCTCTTTGCCACTCTATTACGATACAATTAAACAAGATTTTTATTAAATTTATTAAATTTTTTTGCTCAGAGCTCGCACACAAATCTTATCGTAGTATATTTTATTACTTTTATCTGCAATCTGTACAGTTAAGAATTCTTATTAAATTAACATAAAATAATAAATTGAATTGCAACTTAAGTGAGTTATAGATATCGATTGATTAAAAAAATAATAATACTGGAAACATTCTAAAATGAACACGCCAAAACCCATCAGATCCAAAGCTACATTCTTCTTCTCCTTTTTGCACTAAAATTGTTAATCTTCTGTTTAATTTTAATACGGAACAACATTTTGAATGTCATTTTATTTGCTTTTATTATTTTTTTACAATAATTTCTAAAATGTTCTTATTGCATCTGTAAATTTTATTACTATATACAATCGTGTAACAATAATATCGCAAAATGTAAACCAACTTTAGTAATTATTATCTCAATTGATTGGTTTCATGTTCATTTTCACAAAACATAGCTGATTCTGAAACATAATTAACTTAAAGACATGATTTCAAGTCCGAAATTAATATATAATTATAATATAATAAATATGCTACATATCTAAATCTTGCAGTTAAATGAATAAGTTAGATTACATGCTGAAAACACACTTTATGTGTATGTGTGTGTGTATATTTATATTATGCTATTTAAATTATGCCTAACTTAATTTATGCTCAAAAATTGCTAGTCTAAACATAATAGCTATTTATTTACTATAAGATGTATTACAATAAACGAACTTCACGAAGTGTAGGTTAATTGCGCTCGTTATGGGCACCATCAATTTTGCTTCCAACATCACTTTCCGAGAAAATGTCTAGAGCCTGGAGAAATTCAAATGACATGCATCCGGCTTTGTGTGGCTCATTACTTCCACTGTTAAAGTACTTCCGTATAAGTTTATACAAACGGCTACGATCTCCTTCTGAATAACTTTTGAATAGATTAGATGATGTCTAGTTTAATTAGAATACTGCCTGGACTTATTACAATAGTCAATTTATGTAATGATATTTAAATAAATAATTGAATATCAATGTCATCGCGTTCACAACTGAATAAAAATATAACCCATTACGCCACAAAGTACTTCCACCTTGTTGCACCAATTGCGTTCATCTAATCTCGTAGGAATTGGCCCGTATTTCAGTTACCTGTAGTCAAGCGAAGTATGGGAATAATCGATGGTAACTAATAGTTTCTGCATGTAAACCAATGGAGACTAAAATGTAGAAAACCTTTATTCCCCATCAGTGGTCATTACCATTTCAGCTTGCAGTTCTCATGAGCCATATCTGTTTTTTCAGTTCATTTACAGATATCTACGTTCTAGGTCCTATCATGCAGAAACTCTGAACATATACCCTCTCCATGTCTCGCCGAATGATATACGAATATCCATTACATATTTCTATAAATGTAACCATTTGTCATCTTTAACGTTATTGATACTACGAGTAGGTATAGTGAACTGTAGGTAACTAATCTTTTTTTATTCTCTTCAATTATTACTTACAACAGAACATAGACGTGTATTAGCCATCGATCTATGAAGGTCAAAAAAATATCTCCATACTTTTTAAAATGATCACACATTAATTTTCATTGACAGAAAACATCGTGGGATCGGACCCTACCGAGATGATGACAGTGGCTCCTTGGTCAATTAAAGTGGCTAAAATCTCTCAGCCCAACTTGGATTTCTTGGGTAAGATTATTTCCTTTATTGAATATTATGATTATGCTAGTGGTTCAGTTTTGTAGAACTTTCCTAGGCATATATCACCACCTTTGGCAAAGAAATACTAGGTAATGAACATGATTATGGTGATTTTATCACATAAATTTTATCTTATTTTATCTATGTATCCAACTTGCCACAAGAAAAGAGCATGATCTCGGTACATGGCTAGCAACACATTTTACCAATTGTGTCAACATTTTGCTATTTTACTAAAAATATAGCGCATTTCTTGAACAAATATCGTCTTCATAGAATCAAATTCTATTTCTGTCTCAATCATATTTTTGCCACTAAATTGCTATGCTTCAAAGCATACTAAACAACTAATAAGTAACTTAGTGGCAAATTGCTTTATTGCTTTATATTTAGCATGACATTGTCATCATAAATAGAGCCACAAAAGCTTAGTCCTCAGGAATATAAATAAATAAAGGCCATGGATGTCACAATATATTCCATAATGTTCATGGTATTGTCTACATCTATAGACAACCGTTGCTACTATGTATCAGGTAAACTAGCTTGTTTACTGTTTTAAATAGAATATAAAATATGCAGAATAATATTTTATTTTTTTAATGCAGTGTAATATTTTATTTATAATATAAAGTTAATACCCTAATACTTTAATTTATAAATAAGTAGTCAACAATCAATTAAATAAAAGAAATTTACTCCCATAAGTTATCCTCTACCTTTCTTTGTGTGTGAAACAAATAACAAATATTGAACTGTGCATTCAGCATCGAGTGACATAAATCTGAACATGGTGTATATTGGCATGGGATAAAATATAAGTTGTATGATATTTTCTAACATGTAATTCTAAAATAAAAACTATTTCATATAGTTGTTAATATATTTAATACTAAGCCTATTATTTTCTTAACTTTAATTCCTAAATACAAATTTTTAAATTAATGCTACTAGTGTGAGGATGGCGGTTTCTAACCACCATAATTCAAAAGAATGCCTCAAATGCATCTAAACGGACAATCGTAAACTTTACGTGTCCTCTAAAATATAAAACAAATAATAAACATTATTTAAAAATTTGAAAAATTCATTATTCGAAAAGATTATTTCTAGTATTAATTAATTCGAAGATTAGTTTAGAATTCGATCTTGAGACAAGTCAAGTATAATCTGACTGAAATGTGGTTAAATTATAACCGCTAATTTTTAAACAAAATATTCGATTACCATTTACGCAATCAAATTGAGTAGCATAACTTCTAGTTTTAAATGTAACTAGTTAAATAAATAATAGCAGCGTTTTACCTGAAATAAAACGCATATTAAAATACTTACCTCACTGGAAGCTTTATACATTGAGAGAGCATTTCCGTTTCCGTCGTTAGCCAGTCCTAAATTATTATTATTATACCGGAATTTCCGGCTCAGTGGCGACACCTGGCGGGGATGCACGATTTTTACTTTTGTAAAAATGTGCTTCCTATCGTCATTGACTCAATGTTTCACCAGGCAAAATAAAATTAAAGCTTCCAGTGAGGTAAGTATTTTAATATGCGTTTTATTTCAGGTAAAACGCTGCTATTAAAGTACTTGACCGTCACTGGAAGCTTTATACATTGAGACCTGTTTGTTATTGCCTGGTGACGCCACTACTTCTTTGTTTAATTAAATTTTAATACACAAAGGTACAAGGTGGGCTTAAAGCTCAGGACTTGTGAAGCATTAAGTTATCGAAATAGGAACTAGGGGTGTATATGCAATGCCATACCTGCTTGCTCTATATAATTAGGTACTTTGAATAATAAGTAATTGAAACGCCAATGTGATAATGAGTAGATTACAGCAAAAATAAACTCGTCTTTATTTTATATATAATTAGGTAACATAATAAATGTTACATAATTCATGTACTTGTGCTAACAAAATTAAGTATAACTAAATTATAATGATTTTATTAATTATTAGTCTGTACCAAACGAAACCCATGATAAATCAAGTAATTGAATTAAACAATCGAGTAATGGTATCAGAATTATCGCTCCTAATAACTTCTCTTCTATAAAACTGTTGGAATGTATTAACAGATTGCCAATTCCCACGAGCTAGAATATCTTCAACAGAATTATTCTCTAGCCAACTTTTAGAGGCTACAGCTGATCGAACGCTTCCTGGAGTAGCTGCTATATCGGCTTCCTTTAACAGCGTTCTGATCCATCCAGCTATTACGGTTCGTGAAGCAGGCTTGGCAACACCTCTAATTGTAATGAATAAATTAAAAGACTTTGTAGCATCACGTCTTTCTTTTAACAAAGATATAGTTCTCTCTATCCAAAATAGCGGATTTAGATTACGGTTATCGGGATTTAAAAGTAATTTCCAACCAGATTGTCTATAAGTACTGCTGTCAGTTTTTGAGCCAAATTGGGGCCAAAAAATTATATTATCATCAGATTTTACACAGTAAGGTGGATCTATCCTGAGTAACGTTAAATCATGAATACGTCTGCCTGAGCATAGTAGTAACAAAATGGCAGTATGTCGTGATACTTGAAATATATTATTCATATCTATTATGCAATTGTTTAGGAATTGACACAACTTACTGACATTCCAAATGGGTGGTTTACAAGTTTTTGGATTTTTTAGGGAAATTGCTTTTAAAATATGTTTTACTAGGACATGTGAACTTAGTTGACAAAACATATCGGTATTACATAAAGTGGCAACAACTGATTTGTGTAGAAGAATCGTATTATAAGATAATTTATCTACTAAATGTAGATCACATAAAAATTGAGCTAACTGTGATCCAGTTGGATTTGTTGGATTGATACTTTTATTTCTACACCAAGAAATCCAGCGTGCCCATGCTGTTTGGTAAGTTTTCAAAGTAGACTTACGCCATGAGTTTTTGAGTAATGAGCGTTGTTCAGAGTTCCATGATTCTATCGCTGAAGACCACCCCCACATTTCCACACCTCCAGTACAATCTCGTCTACTTTCGGAGGTGGGAGGCCTGTCGATGTATCGACTAGATGTTGGTTGAGGTTCATCAGAGTAAACGGTGCTGATAGCGCGCGGGTTTTCAGATCCGCTCGCCAAAATACTTTTTCCCACCGAGGAACTACTAACAAAAATGTCCCCGTCGACTGATTTAAGTGAGTTAATACTTTGGGAACCAAATATGGGGGTGGAAATACCCATGCTAGTGGATAATTCCATGGGACGCTGAATGCATCGTGAAATAAGGCTTGATGATCGGTTAAATCTCGAGACACATAATTGCTTGTTACATGTGCCGTTTTTGATGCAAAAAGATCTATCACTGGGTTGCCCCACTTTGCAAAGATTACTTCCACACATGCAGGTAATAAATGCCACTCCGGGGGTCGGCGATGGCGACTTAAATGATCGGCATAATTGTTGAATTTGCCTGGAAGGTAATGTATGTTGAAATGTATTTGATAATGATCGAGTAAATTTAGAATTTGTGAAGTTATTTCCAATAATGCTATTGATTTTGTACCTCCTTCTTTCTGTAGATAAGCGACTGCCGTTTTGCTGTCGCATTGAATTAGGATTGAGCTGCGACTTATCTGAGGAGCATAACTTTGGAGAGCATGAAGTATGGCCAACATCTCCTTTTGATTGCAGTGAAGATTCTGTTCCTCTGGTGACCAGGTCGCCGAGAGAGCTAGATTGTTTATTTGTGCCCCCCCACGCCCGATACGAAGCATCTGTTGCTAAGAAATTCACCGCAGGAGGGTGATGTAGTGGTGTGGATAACTGGCAATTCTGTACCCACCATTTTAATTCGTTGTTGGCTTCCTTCGTTAGTGGGTAAGCTCGAGATGACGTTTGTGGTAGTGAATTCATCATTGTTAATAATTGTCGATGATTGAGTCGTCCTCGTGGCACAACAAAACTGGCAAAGTTTAGAATCCCTACTATTTGTTGTAACTCTTTGACAGTTACTTTTTGTTCGAGTATATAATTCGTCTTTTTTGCTAAGGCGATAACCTTCTCCTTTGGTAGAGATTTTAGATTCTCCCAAGGTTTCCAGTCTATACCTAAATAAATTATATTCTTTTGAGGGTAAAGTACCGATTTTTCGAAATTTATTTGCCAACCCAAATTCTGTAGCGTTTGTATCGTAAGTTTTACATGGTTGCGCAAGGTATTTTGATTCTGATGTGAAATAAGGAAGTCGTCTAGGTACACTATGATTCTTACGTTCCATTTTTGCCGCAACATTTGAGCAATCCAATTGGACAGTATGGAGAAGGTTTTTGGGGCTGTACTCAGGCCAAACGGAAGACAAGTCATCTCTAATAATTGTTGGTTGTATATCAGTCGTAGGAAGCGTCTTTGTGACTTTTTTATACCGAGGTGAAAATAGGCCTGCGACAAATCTACTTTGCATAGCCAGTCCCGAGGTTGCAGGAAGTTCGGAATGCGGTGCATGTCTATGAGATGAAACGGTTTGACCGTTACATATTTGTTTAGTGCTCTTAGATTGAATATAGGACGAGCTGTTCCGTCTGATTTTGGTACCAGAAATAGAGGCGAAACAAAGCTGGGAGAGACATGGGCGACTTTTAGAATTCCTTGCGATTTCATTTTGTTTATTATTATGGACATTTCTTTTGAGACAGGAGTTTGCAAGGGGCATTGTTTTAGATTTGGATATAATAGAGGAGGTTTTTGAAAGAAAGGTATGCGATAGCCTTGAATTAATTGCAAAACAATTTCTGGTGCACCCATATCTTTCCATTGTGTGTGGAAGAGTTTTAACTGACCTGCTCGAAATGGCTTTGAGTCATTGTTTCTGTATTTTTTGATTTCCTTTATGGGAATTTCTGGACGTATTTGTACGTCCTCGGTTATTTCCACGGTTGTGCTGCGAGCCACGGTCGTGAAATGTACCCTTACCTGTGTTAGTGTATTGAACATTAGAAGTATATCGTACAGGAGGGTAGACAGTATGTTGACACTGATATCCACCCCGCGAGGGTAGATTATTACATGCATGTGCATGCAAACTTGGTTCGTAAGAGTAATATTGGTTTCCACGCGATGGAACCGCTTGTCTTTTTATGCCTTGTCCCCGCGAGGGATGGCGGTTAGATAGATTAGGTTGATTTTTATATTGTGAAATTTTATCACGTTTTAAAGGCCAGAATGCTTTTCGCATTCCACCAACTTTTTCTAATGTAGATGTAAAAGGCTCAGCATCAAATATGAATGTAGCAGATGGAGGAATTCTATTCAGAGAAGCTTTTATCAGAGGATCACGGACTTGGCTTATAATACTCTCCCGTCGCATTTCAATAGATTCAGCTCTATGGCCACAAACTAATTGTAATAAATCGGAAGATATTTTATGGAAAGGACCTTTTTGAAATATTTGCTCTAACTGTAGATTTAAATTTTCAACATTTAATTCTTTCGTATTTTTGGCCCAAGAAAGAAGGTCACGAAATCCCTCTTGAAGGGATTCTCTTTGCTTTAAAATGCAAAAAGTTATAGCCGCGTATGATTTGTCAGCATACGCTAAGTTACGAGAAGTGTCATACATTTTGACTTCCTCATTAGTTTCTAAATCAGTATAGCCTGGAGTATGATTATACAACTTTTGTGTTTCAGCATATCTCACATCGGACCAGGAGGAGGTGCCTAGGCGCTGAACCTCTAGCAACTTTTTTAAAAAATCATCGGGTGTTTTTGGGACAACTGGTTCCTTTAACTTAGTATCAATATCAAAAGTAAAATCTTTATTTTCACAAGAAAAGCAATCGTCAACGACATCAGTATATAGCTGGCCACTAACCTCAGATGAAAGCGACACGTTGTCATGACAAAATGTATCATTTTCAACATTCTTACTAATAATAAACATTTCTTTGAGCTCACCCAATTCTTTCACCAATTTGTCCATTTTGCGTGCAGTGCGACGAGCACGCTTGCCTTTCTTACGGTGGCGGCGCGACTGTTTGTCTGAATATGACGAACTAGAAGAGCTGCTTGAACTGCTACTTACACTTAGGATTCGCTTGCGCGAAGTCCCACTGGAACCAGCTACAGCTTGCGGCTTATCACATAAATCATTCTCATCATCAGCCATCCTATAAACAAAAGATATTAAAAAAAAATCCTTATCTAAAGAAAAAGTAGTGAAGGTACTCATACAGGTATGAAATTTCTAAAAATAACTTTTGTTAAGAATTGCATTAAAAAATGGACGGTGAAATAAAAATTATTATTATAAATCCTTATAATCAATTTTTAGTCGAATAGCATTTACTTTTAATATGAATTAAAAGGATCGTACGAATATGTTACTGGCTAAAAGTAATGCAATATCGTAATCCGAACGAAAAATCGTTTATACATAACGATCACGATATAATAAAATAAAAGGTACTTACAGTGTTTCTTAAGGATAATTAAATCACTTTATACTTATTTACTGAGTACCACTGCAGAAACAGTGTTGCTGCAGACAAGTTACTTCGACGAAAAACGAAACGCCAATGACGATAGGAAGCACATTTTTACAAAAGTAAAAATCGTGCATCCCCGCCAGGTGTCGCCACTGAGCCGGAAATTCCGGTATAATAATAATAATTTAGGACTGGCTAACGACGGAAACGGAAATGCTCTCTCAATGTATAAAGCTTCCAGTGACGGTCAAGTACTTTAATAAGAATTATTTATTATCCACCACAAACAAATAAATTTACAGTTTTATTTTGAGGCACTATTTTATGGAAATCTGTAACCTGTAAGTAATTTGAGTTACATGCAATAAAAAAATTAAATAAGTAGATTTTGCTTCGCAAAAAAGAATCAGTCGTATAAAATTTATCATTCAGTAGTAACAAATTAACGAAACTCTTTATTTCCCCCCTAAAAAACATGATTGTGTTAAATATATATAAAAAAATCAGTATTACAAAAAACAAGACAAAGAGACAATAATGAATATACTTATCGCTAAATAGCGATCTCTTCCAGGCAACCTTAAATGAAGAGAAGTAATTAAACTTGCATCTGGTGGAGGCGTAACAATAGAAATAATAAAATTTAAAAAGGGGTTAAATTAAATTCCTTATTGTTATTATAAAACTCAATTATATTTCATAAATACTTATATCAGATAAAATGTTTGAATTTATAAATATGTGTAAAACGGCTTTATACGATTTATACTTAAATTTTTACTCTACGATAAAAAAATATTGAAGTGCAAATCATATACTATTTCGATTTTTTATACAATATACTTAATCAAAATTCGTTACAGCACCTGAAGTACAGACAAATGGACAGTGCAACATTCTGTCGGATATGTTCTCACTTGGATTGGTGATCTGCGCTATATTCAACAACGGCAAGGCGCTGCTTCAGGCAAACAACAACCCTATGCTGTATATGAAACAAATCGAATATGTAAGTTGAAACTCTTTACAAGTAGCAAATTTCTATTGACATATTCGCTTGTTAGTTGTTTCCCTAATGACTAAATTACAGCATGTTAGTGAACCTATCTAATATTATATACGAAACCTTCATCAATTTCGTCAATTAAAGTAATTCTTGAATTTTAAATTATCTAAATTATTTTTTCTATAAGTATCTTTTAACCAAGCTCCTTATTATAGGTCTAAAAAAACTGTATTCCTTTAAAAAAAAATAGTATACATACACAACAAATATTTACTTTTCAGAAATTATAAACATAAATGCCATAATCTTTAGTCGTTTACAATTCATAATAAAAAATAAACTATGGACATTTAAAATGTATGTTAACTAGCTCTTAACTGGTTTTATTGTAAAATATTAATATTAGGTGGGCGATAGTCTTGCTTGCAAATGGTACTTATATTTAATTTACATACATGGGTTTAAACATATTAATTGTTAAACAATAACTGAATATTTTATTGAAGTGAATATTTGACGAGAACATTTACATACCAGTTAATAGTAAAACAATCAATGTAGTATTTAATTTAATAAATTCTGTGACACAATACGTTTTAACGTTTTTGTATTATGAAATATTGACCAATGTCATAAAATATTCGAAAATATAAATATATGTCTATCATGTCTGTATACATATTTTTATGTTAATACTTTGGCATACATATACGTACTTCTGCACGATACAGCATGTGTCCGTAATACGCGACGAATAAGTGACGATTACGCGATGGCGCTATACATTTCTTGTCACCACATCGTCGTTTATCTTATTACTGAGAGTCATGTCCCAACAATGCATATAAATATATTTTTTCATGCTTGTTACCTCGTAGCTGCGTTAGTTATAAACCGATTTGGAAATATATATTTTTTTTATCTGAAAGGTTATACATATAAGATCAATTTAATAATTTGATTTTTAAATCATAATATCTGGTTTTGCCAGAACTGAAGTCATTTCTTAATCACAATCTTATTTTTTTTTAATATTAGCTATTTGTTTTATTCTACTGATACCTAGGTTTCCAAGGAGAATGAGTGGACCAACTGTGGTCAACACCACAGTACCCCTTTATCTTTGCTATGCAATCAAGATAAATGACAAATTTACTTATGACTAGATAGGTAGATAAATAAATAGATACGAGTTGTGTCTCATGGCATTGATTAATTTGATTAATTTGGTTATGATTATTCTTTGTCTTGTTAATTGTATTGTATAATATTTCATATTTATTTGTAATCAAGTAATGGTAATAGTATTGAATGTTTCGATGTTTATATAATTACCTGTTCTTAAATTGTTGCATGCCCGATATGGCATAACTGTTGATACTGATGTCAAATTCAAAGCAATAGTTACTGCTATATGTATATACACAGTTAGCAATAAAATTCTATTCTATATTCTATTCTATTCTATTGGCTATGTGTAAAATACCCTATATCTATACACTAAATTTAATTAAAATCCATACTGAGTGTGACCATATAACAAAAATACAAGTATTAGTAAGATTAAACACCAGAGGGAGACATTGTACAAAAGTCATTTGCATGGGCACCTCTATCCCATTCGTGTTTCTACCGTGAAGCAGTTGTGTTTAGATAGCTATGGGTGGGATATGGCAGTGACTTTACAGGGTGCAGAGGAATAATACCTGAGTCCTTAGGAATAGCAATGCATGGGTGAAACAGTATACTCTGTTATGTCCTTGGTACTGCTCATGTCTATAGGCGACGGTTACCACTTTCCATCAGGTAGACTGTCAGCTTGTTTGTCATTCTAAGTTGCATAAAAAAACTTATCTATTTATTAACTAAAAATTATTATAGAAATGAGAGCATAATAATTTTCCACAAAAAAACATCGACTTTAATCATAGCAAAACTTAATTAATATTGACTTCACTACTCATATTTTAAAGTAATTAAACACATACGAATAAATTTTTCTCCTTAAAGAAATACAACGGTACAGTAAAAGGTCGTGTCCCACAAAGAAACTAGCTTTAATTGTGATAAAACCAGTTATCTTGACCTAAAAACTAATATCAAAATCGGTGATTTTGATAAAATTTCTGTAACATCAATCTGAAAATATATCCTTTCACAAAAAAAATCCAAATCAGTTTAGAACGGACAGAATTATAAGATAAATTAAAAAAGATAAATTGAGAATTTCTCCTTTTAGAAGTCACAGAAAAGTTAATTTTATTCGTCGTTGTGATTTTGGCATAATCACAACGACGAACCAGGTATTTTGGTTAAAAACTAAAACATTGATCGATTTTAATGAAATTTGGAACCTATCTGAAAGTTCCTACAAATTTTAATAAAAAAAAAAATTATAAATGACAGAGTTCTGAGTAACAAACTTAAAAAAATACAATCGAATTGAGTCTTCTATTTTTAGATATTGTTAACAATATGAAAATGATTTTCTAATTATTATATGATTGAATAAAGAAACGAAGAAGATGGAATATGAACATGCATTTCTACACCGTACAACCGTTCGCCATGCCGTCCATTCTTTGATGTGCTTTGTACATCTTACAACCTTCTTTCAACATTTCGAGACTATAATTTCATAATATTATTTAAAACTTAGAAAATATAAGAAACAAATCTATAATAAATCTACAAAAGTAGATAAAAAGAGTAAAAAAGTATTTCTGATTGATCGTTAGTTATCGAAACTAAAACAGCCCAATCGAAACACCTACTAATTTTCATTTGTGTAGTTTATTTTATACTAATTAATAAGACCAGTTACATTATTTTTATAAATGCTATATAAATTTCTTACCGCATTATCATTAAAGTTATCTTTGTCATGAACACAAAGAAGGACATTAAAAAGGTTTGCAACCATCAAACAGGCAGTAAATGACCCTTTTATGTTTATATTTTAAAAGGTATACCGAAACTCCGTATACGCTATCGACCGCAAGGGATTACAACTCTATATGCATATAATAGAAAATAATTGCAAGTACATATTTAAATTTTGATGTTCTTTGAATTATTAAAAGAAAAACTAAACTAACCAAGTTCTTGTACTTACACCATGAGTATTTGATACTATTGAATACAAAATACTTATAGGTATTATAAAGTAGATAACCAGAATAAAGTTTTAGGTAGACTTTACCCCTGTCAGTATGTAAGGCAACTTCTGTTTTATTTATTTATATATATATTTTGGTAATATTTCTCTATTCAATTTTTTTACCATTAACTGTCTCGTTATTACTGTACCCTTAAGTATTACAATTCTCTAATACGTCTCATGTAATGGTTTCTATCCCAACAAAGGTAGTATAAACTTTGTACTCTAATTTAGTTTTATGGGGGAACACTAAAGCCATTTAAACATGTAAGTCCAGTAAACATGTGGAGACCGTGCACTTAAATATATCTAGACTATTTAACTACTAATGTTACTTTCAAGTTTAATATAGTGAAATAATAATTAGGATTATTCAAATTCACAAGAATATAGTTTTTAATAACATATCACAAGTATTTCTCCGCTACTGTCCCTTAATTGCTTTCTGTAATTAAATATTAGCTGGTAGAGAATGTCTTTGTAAAATTTGTATTACTCAATGAACTAATAAAAATAAATTAAAATATTTATTTATATCTTATAATTTATTCAGCAAATTCTTACTTGTTTAATTCTAATTCTAATCCGTTAAGTATGTAATTCTTTGTTTGGTTACAAAACTAGTAACTACTTAATATTACAGAGAAAATCTAAAAAAGTAGTAATATTCTGTCCTGCTAATATTATGAACCTGGAAGATTGTAAATATTCGTTACTTAATCATGCTTGAATGCCTGACCGTACTTAAATGGTATCTGGTAAATGCATAGACTATAATCTATATTAACATTTACTATACTTTTAATAAATCATCCCCAGAATAACATTGACTAAAGTCAAGTTTAAGTTGATAATTATATGTTTGTGGTAGACGGTATCGTCACTACTAATTTATTTGTCCATGTAATTTACTTTATTTTTCATACTCATGTACAGTTGGACCATCAACTCAATGCTGTGTTGCCCCGTGTCCCCGCCGCGCTTCAAGAAGCAGTTCAACGCCTGCTGTCCAGAGACCCACACCCTCGCCCTACTACTCAGCTGCTACCATTGATAAAGTACTTCAAGTAAGATTTACTCGGCCTGCCTTTATTGTGAAGTTCTGCGCTTGCACTTTTGATATACAAGATATCGAGGTTAATTGTAACATTAACATTATAAATAAACATTTTAGAATCAATTTATAATATACAGAGAGAAAACAAAATCAAATTAATACCTTTTTAAAGGATGGCATTGAAACAAAAAAAAATTCTAAGAAAATATGGTTTGAATATCAAGGAAAAATGTAGAACCTATCACACTAATACGGCGACTGGCCGTAAAATTAGTACTATTTTAGTAAAAATTATTTCACTAATAGAATTCTTCTTTAAAAGTCAACTTTCATGATTTATCTGTATCTATAGATTATTTTAGTATATTATTTTTTTTTAGAATATTTCAGAATATTGCAACACTACCTAGGTAGCTATATACATGTATGTCAATATGTTTTACATGTTTGGTTAAATGTTATGTTATATATGTATTATGAATTATTTATAGGTAAAATAATAGTTTATTTTATGTCACTGTGCAAATTAGGTACGGAAATACCGACAATATCGACCGTATCACATTGAAATTTGCTTACTCTCAATACATACCCGGTTCCCAAGATCAGAGAAAGTAAATTAATTACTTAACTATTAACAGACCCTACATCAAATATTTGTCAGGGAACTTTCAATGCCATTGTTGGTATATTAAGTTCTCGACACATTATGCAAATCCTTTTCAGTCCCCCCATCTAATCGATCTATTGCTGAATTATAAATTACAAAACTTAGTTAATACTAGAGAGATACAATTTATGTAATAGTTCTACCATAGGTTCTATTCTACAGATCATGGCACTATATTATACAGTGTGACATGTCACTATCCTTCTCTAGTGTTAGTTGTACTCTCTTTCCACTACTCTTTTTTATAATAACATAATAATTGACATATACTAAATCTTTTTAAGTGCATTTTAGTACTTAGTACTTACCTACTAAGCTGCTTGCAATGCCCGTCTCTTGCTTCGCTTGCGCATAACAATGTCTAGCTTTCGCTAATAGTATCTGTCTTAGATTTAGATACAGTTATGTGATGACTATGTTGCACTCCGCAAGTCTGAATGTAAAACAGGGCTAAACCTTAACAATATCAATAATAAAGAATAAATACGCAAATCTTACCTAAATAATATATTTTCTCGCATCGGATTATTTTATCTTTACATATCAACTTGTTACGCTTAACTAGGCAGGTATGTCAGTAACATACATGTTACTGACATACCTGCATACATACAGTACATACAGTAACACCCATATGTTACGATGAATTTCTTTCATAGTACCTACTTATCATAAATGTTAAATCGAACAATTTTTCCTAAAATTCATTCAATAATAACAAAATTGTACAGAATTTACGTACAAACTGATTTTTTTTATTAAAAACCAAGTAAGAATTAACAATTATTTTCACGAAATTTCCAACTGCTATTGTTGTACAAAATTGTAACTTTAATTCCTCGATACTATGTGTAGATGTCAGAGTGAGCCTGCCATACATGCGATGCAGTTCCTGGATGTGATCACTATGAAGGATCCTAATCAGAAGACCAACTTCTACCGTGGCACTCTAATCGATGCATTACCATATATACCGAAGGTATGATTGACATTGAGGATATTTATTATCAATGAAAATCTAAGTAAGTAAGTAATTCAATTAATCTCGTTATAATCTCAAGAAATAGATAAATAAATTCCTAAAAATTGCAGTAATCTCAGAAAAAGATAACGATGCATTATATACAGACCAGACAGCACTGGTCCGTATATGAATAAACTAAGAGAGAAAATACTTTTTACGGACATAATAATATTTAAACAGTAACGACAGAATGTCAATTAGATAATAGTCTATACAAATTAATCACTTTTAATAGTCCATTTGGAAATACATATTTACAGCTATATCATAAACAGAAACATTTCAACATCAATCATCAAGCTCCCAAAGACAAATTTTCTATTAAGTTCATTTTAGAACATAATTTGAGTTAAAAGTAAAACTAATTAAAATAATAAATGTCATCTCGTTTTCAACACGTAGACGGTTCAGTATTTTCTTTGGTGTTAACTTACCTTTGAAGTAGGCAACTGGTTTTATTTTAACTTTTTAATTATTCTTTAATTGAATATAGCAGAAATTTCTTCACTTCTTCAGTGAATAAAGGATTTTAATTATATTTAATTAAAATAATTGTTAGGAAACAAATTATAATAATTATATTTTTTCAACTAACTAAATTACTATACGATAATAAAATCTGCTAGTTATTTAAATATTATTTAGGATATTGTAATTCATTATCTTAGTTTTAAATTTTAAATAAATTAAATATTAATATTTAGTCCTGTAGCGTAGTATAATATATATAATTGTCAATAAAATTTATTTAATAATCTCATTAATTTAAAGGAAATGTGTGAGATATTTACTGTCTTTATAATCTAAATTTTATTTCCTAACCTAAATTAAAGCTTTTCTGTTTCGTTAAGAAATTTAAATAATGTATAAATATTTAATTCAAATAATGTCTTCTTCTACTTATTAACTTCTAGTTTAATCTCTTGGTATATTACAAATATTAATATATTTGTATGATACTAACTGTTGCTCGTGGCTATTCTTTCACTGAATATATATGTCATGTCCATGTCCACATGTCATGAGCATGTCCACAAGTGACATGATTAGTAGATACATGGTTAGTAAAGTCCATTATTTGCAATAATCTCTCCAAATATCCAGCTTGCTTATTGTTATTATATCGATTAGTAAATAAAGGCTGTAATGATCATGTGACATGATTATCCATGTCACATCATTTCGTCCCTTACAATTTTTTTTTCTATTGCCCTAATAAAAGACGAGCGCAACATATTATTAGTATTTGACTATAGAATATTTTATTATTTTATCTATACTAATATTGAAAAAAGGAAAAATTTGACTAAGTGTTTTTTTTGTAATGGATAAACATAAAAACTACTTAACTGACTTTAAAAATTCTTTCACCTTTACAAAGCTGCATACTTTATTTACAAAAAATAGAAAAATACCAAATTACAAAAATGTAACCCAAAATATCACAATTTTGCCTATTAAAGCTAATATAATAAAATACTTATTTATCTTTCTTTCTTTATACCCGTGTCAGACCTGGCAGATCTCTAGTATCTCATAATTTTATAACAAACCTCGTCTAATTTATCAAATTAACGTAATTTGAATATGATTTAGCCCAAGTAAAATGTATTCAATGTTTTATTTTAACTTAGTCTTATTTAATCCATTGTATTGTAATCGGCTTACTTTATAAATGTAACTCGTTTTTACCGACACGTGTAAAATAGGTTAATTGACTGAGATAATAAGTAGCCTATGTACTTTTCTATCCGTAAAAAAACGTGTGTAATAAATTTCATGACGATTGTTACATCCCTTAAAATGTCAAAAAATAACAAAATAATCTTCCAAACCCACTTTCACATTTATAACAATAGTAAGATTATACCATTTAAAATGGCATTAGCTTTTGGAGTCGTATTTATATTTAGTCTCTTTATTTAGTTTCTACTATGCCCACACCTTACTGAATAATTTCACTTTTTTAGAAAACAATAATTTTATTTATTAAAAAATAAATTTTACAATCGTTTTATAAATAATAGAGTTAGGAGGTAAACATAAAAAATACGATACTATCGAATTGACAATCTTGTTTTTTTTAAAGTCGTTAAAAAAGTATATCCACTAATTATGATATTAATTGCCTTCACTTGGAATAAATTTATCTAAATTCAAAATTTCTCTACAACTGTTTTTCCTTGTCTTTATAAGAAAAAAAAACAATCCAATATCCAGTGGTAGTATTCATAAAACTGAAGAACTTTCTCCAAAGAAATATACAAATTCAATATGAAAATATTTTTTTAATCTTTCCTTAAAACGTGACTGAACAATTGGAATGATGTAATGATTTGTTTCCGTATTCTTTTTACCTTTAACATCCTTGGGAAAAGATTTTGTAAATACTATCGCTGGACTTCGACTTTTTATTCACATTTTTTATTACATTATTTCTGAAAATATATTTGGACGATTTTTGGTTTTATTTTGTTAAACAGTTATTCTGTAAGTAGTTTACTGTTCGTAGTAGCAATTTATCAGCATAATGCTTACTTATTTTATAATATTGAAAAAATATATAAAATTAATATTAGTTTCCTAAATATGACTTTACCGTCGAGATCTCTATATACTCCGTAAGGAACTTCACTTATACAAAGATAAGTAATGCAACAGAACCTAAATGAAACATGCATGTACGTGTACAACAACATCAAAACAAACATAAGCAGCAAACAAAGGCAATAATATTTTTTATAAAATGACATATATTAAAAATAATATAATACACCTACCATCATTACTTTCATTTCAGGATCTCCTGCAATCATTATTTGCCACTTCTGAACTTCTATTAAGCTACTACTGGACAAGGCTTATTATCCATGCTACTAAAAATATTCAATAATATTAAAGGTTTTTTAGTAAATCTTATGTTTATTCCCATTGCATCTGCGAAATATGAGCCGAGTACAGTTACTACTAATTTAATCTAGTTTATTATAAAAATGATTAAATGTTTCACATGTTTACTGACTTTTTTCATTGGTAACTGAGGCGCAGATGATAGTAATTGTACACTTCAAACATAGGCGTATTTAAAGGGGGGTCGGCTGGGTCATGGCTTGTCTGATGCCTACCCCAGAATGTGAGCGAAACTTTAAATTACGCACAAAAACGTATTGTACATCAACGCCTTTTTAATGGGCCAGACCTCCTTAACAAATAATCTTAAATATGCCTAAACACCTTGCGAAATAATAAAAAAAGCAGTCATTACGAAAATTGATAAATTATTAGTAATGACTGTTTTATGGATGCATATAAATAAATAACGCCATTAATACATATTAGATTACGCTCATCTATATTAAAATACTTTCAACTTTGCAGAAATTACGCTGGCAACACGTCTGGCCTGCCCTGCAACTCGAAGTGCGTACTGCAGAAGTGCTTGCTGCTGTTCTTCAACCTATTATATGGCTTACCAACGAAGCTTCACAGGATGAATTCACGCACTACGTCATGCCGACGTTGAAGTAAATATCAATAAAGTTTAATTTTATATTGTGTGAGCTAAATAGTTAAGAATTTTGTTCGATGTTAGCATCACCCGGGACTACGTACAACATGGCTAAACTTCATATAGAGATTCAGTAATTTTGCATAAAAGCATTTGCTATTGCGCTCGATTTTTTTTTTAATTTAAAGTAATATTTATATAAATATACGGTTACAGGAATTTTTGATTAATTTATTATTTTACAAATAATAAATTAAAACTATTGAAAAATTTTGTGGTAAATCACATAGAACCTATTATTTTTTATTCTCTATTTATATACATTATAAAAACATATTTATAACTGTTTTCTTGATTATAAAATATATGGAAGTAGTATTTAACTCATATCATCCCATCGTTCTATTACTGGAATAATTTTTTTTTAGTATTTTTTTTTTTAATTCCTTCTGTTTCCCTTTGGTGTCAATATAATAGTTATGAGATTTTTAGAAAAAAAATATCTTTATTTATTTAAAAGTTGTGTTGTTGTATTGTGTTAAGTAAATTTTACATTGTGCAATTTTTTTTTTATAATTCGTGTAAAATATTCCACTGGGAATGAATTAATCGATAAGCAGTTAATTAATTCATCAATAATAATTACTAATATCATTAATTTTAATCTAGTTGACAATTACCACTTTCCATCAGGTGGACCGTCATCTTGTTTGCCATTCTAAGTTGCATAAAAAAGTTGCACAATAAATACAATTTGCTATTACAAGGGGGTTGACATACACTACTTTATTTTTTTATAAACCGATTCATTACTGAAATAATAGAAACACATGTCTATGTAACATTTATATATGAAAGTAGTATTTATATATGTAAGTACATGACAAAAATAAAAATATTAAAATATTATTAAATTATCTCTTATTCTAATACGATGTATGATTGCGTATTTTTACTATTTTTGTTTATACATATTTATATAACGATATATATATATATATATATATATATATATATATATATATATATATATATATATATATATATATATATATATAATGCACTCGTTTATCCGCGTATATAATATATGAATTAAATTGTGCTAGTTACTTCGTCCGCGTGACCAAAATATGTTTACACACCGGGATAAAAACTAGACTATATTCTTCTTTATCCCATATAGTATGTGTACACCTTTCTTTTTTCATATTGATTTTTCATAGTGATTTGTTAAGTCATTAAGGCGCTATAAGATAACTAACAAACTCAGTGTCATATTTATTATCTAATATTGGATAGGTATATTAGCGATAATATACCTATCCAATATTAAAATTAAATATTATACAGATAAATATACATTTGATACTGTACTTTTAAATTTTATTTTTAGGTTAATACTTACGTACCTTTTTTATGGATAGCTTGTTAAGTAACTTGAACAGAATTTGTTTTAGAAACCTGATGAATTCGCCTAAAAGCATTCAAGCTTCGGTAACCATACTGGAGAATCTGCATATCATCTTAAAAAAATGCCAAAAGGACGAAATAAATAACGAAATAATGCCATTACTCTATAATGCACTTGATAACAATACCAACCAAATACAAGTAAGCCTTTTTATAATAAATTTACATACTAAATATATTTGAATTAACTAATTATGGAATTTTGCTACTGTGGTTGTCATATAATCGCATTTTTTTTATATTAAGTCATATTAATTACATGTCAAGTCTATCTTTATTTATATTTTAGTCATACAATTATTAAGGAATGACATAAAATATTTTGTAATATCTAACTAGATAAATTTAAATCAGTAAAAAAGCCTTTAATAAAACAAGTAAGAAAAATAAATGGACTATACTTTTTAACTATTATTAAATATTTCGTTGCAGACCGCCTCCTTAATTGCCATTCAGAACGTCTCTGATTACATAGACGACAAAGCTTTACAGAGTATTGTATTGGCAAAAATAAAAATCGTTCTCGAAAAAAATCAGAACGATGTTAAAATAATAAGCCTGATTTTGGGATTCTATGAAAAGATTCTTCTACGTCTGGAGAGAGGGCATATTTTAGATCATGTGATACCAACACTCCTTGCAATGAGACTTACTGATCCGGATATCGTTAACAGAGTTGTCAGTAAGTACAGATTAATTATTTTTTAGCTGTTGCAGTTTAGAGTCGTATAAATAATTACGTTATTCCTTTACAGCGATTATTATATGTTATCATACATATTTTTATCCTTTTAGATTATTGCACAGCGAATGTAATTTATGCGACAGCGATTCTTACGTTTTTGTATTATTTTGGTCTACTCCGTATTAATTTGTTGAAACATTCGTCGAATGTACTATTTGTTACAGTACTGTACAAGGCGATGTTGGTCGAAAGAAAATTTAGCCTAAGCACTGGTGTCATGGCTACAAAGATGATACCATCGTTGGCCCCGCAGACCGTTAACACTTCTCTAAACGTCGATCAATTCACCAATCTAATGGAGGTTAATATTCAGTTGATATTATTTATAATATTTTTATATTTTTCGCCTCATTATGTTAATATATTTTTTTATAGATTCTTTATGATATGCTGGATAACATCGACAAACATCAAAGGTATAGGCTGAGAATAGACGGTATTTCGCTACCCAGTCCAGACAAACATCGCCAACTTCGGCATCAGATGAGTACAGATAACATGCATGCTCCGCCATTCAATATTCCAAATCTGCGTGTGGAACAGCGTAAAACTTCCAGTGCAGAAGACATGGCTCGTAAAAATTCCATCAGTGGCCCTAGTGGAACTGGTAGTGTAGGAGGTTTCAGAAGTAAGTTTACAATATATGAATCAGTAAATTATTATAATATATTAGAGTCAACGACAAAGCAATAGAAATGACTATTCCAGCTAATATGGTCGTAATTGAAAACATAATTTTTCATATTAATTGGTTCACTTACATAGCATGAAGTGAATCGTTATTTACTTAACAACCATTAATTTCAACTCACAATTATTTTGGTCAATATAAAAATCATTCCTTCGTTGCTCCATTTATAATTAATTAATTTTTATACGCGACTTTGTCCGCATGACAAGGGATATTTATTATTATTGAAATAATATTAAATATCCCTGGGGATATGTTTACTGATAGGAATAAACAGTAACCTATATCTTTTTTTCATTCCATACAATTAATGTATACCAAATTACATAATGATTGGTTAAATTATTAGGTAACAAACAAATTCAAATATTTCCTTTTACCAAAACATAATATGTACTTTTACCAGATACGGGAATTGGCCAATGGTTCTTCGGTTCGAGTAACTCTACAAATAACGATAATAACTTCTTACGAGTAGCAAATGCATTCCCGAACCGCCGTCTTTCGGATAATACACTGATGACACCTAAGATTCGCATCGCACCATCATGCGCTTCGTCCCCTGGAGGGACTCCAGGAGGTAGCACCGGATTACCTGCGCGTCGACACTCCAGCATTGGCCCTCAAGAACGCCGTGGTTCGGCAGTCAATTTATCACCACCTACTGTAAGTAAAACTGAAGAATTTATTATTATCACACATTTACTAAAACACACTTACCTATATAGAGGTAAAAAAATAAAAATCCAAAGAAAAAATGGACTGAAAGACTGCTATGATACAAGTGATCAATGCCAATAGTGTTTCATCGACGGTGGAGTGCGGATGGTTGAAAACGTGATAAAGGTGAAGTGATGGTGATTGTTTTGGCAGGGCTACCAGTTCAGGGGAAGAGGCGGGTCAGGCTCGAGCCTGTCCGTGCCTTCAGCGTCACAATGCGTTGTAAGTGATGTTCCCGCGTACGCCTGCCTGGCTGCGTGATATCCCCAAATCCTCTATTAAATGTCGACTTGGAACGGCTTAACATTGATGTGGTCTGTCTCTTCTGCGGTCGCGTTTTCTTCCCACACCGACTGGGAGAGATAGTGTCTCATAGTTCACATCATCACCATACACGTTACATCTGCACGAACCTGGATGGTGTCTATCACGTTACGAACTGTCTCTATCCGATCATTTTAGACCTTTCATTGCATTACATTTATCAACGCTATTACTTTCATTACTACGAGACAACCATCAGGCAGTAAAAAAACCTTCAAGAAAAACGAAGCGGTGCATGTTCATAATGATATTGTCTTGTTCGCGTTGCATGAACGCCTCACAATGTCAAATGTGTCTTAAAAAGCTAAGCTACGGAAGTAGCGCAATTAGTGTTGCTCTCTGGTGAATGCTAAAGTGTTGCATCTAATAAACGAGTGCACACCTACGGTGAACCCGAGTGGTTCATATTGCCTGCGATGTCTCTCGGAAAACGCAATTAGATGTCTGATTGGCAAAAGTGAAAAAAGAAAAGACTATTATACACATATACCTATTCTAAATTATTTTTAGATTAACAAAACTTTGCAAATGCACTATTGAGCATAGAAATATAAAAAAGGCGGCAGATCAAATGGACAATATTTTATAAGCTAAAGTGTTTTACTATACAAAAAATCTAAACTATTTATATATTGATTCTATTTGACATGCCAGCCTCGTTTCTATGCCAGAGAAATTTTTTTTAATTTATCATTAGTTTTTCATTTACATAAAATGCACGATAGGTGTTTTCAATTACAGATGTTAATTAGGTTAATGTTGAATGTGAAATTAACGCAAGTAAAGTCATTTCTTCATCCATATTGAGGCTCTTTGTCGAATGTTTAACGCTGTCTCATTCACTGTTGCTATTTGTTCTTCTACGCAGCTTGCACGGAGCATGATCGTGAGTATGGTTCGTCTCTAACATGTCGCGAACAACGCAGACTTGAGTCACATCTATCTTTTTCTACAATAGTGAAAATTTAAGCGTTGCAGCACTAAGATGTTGCTGTAAATATAAAAATAAAATTACATCACAATATATCTATTTCTGTAATGTTCAGAATAAGCATTTATAAAGAATTTCATAATTTAGCAACATCTCCGTAGTTACAACGGTACATCGTAATCAAGTAGAGTAGATGAATATTTTTAAATCACGAAAAGTTTCAAAAAACCAACACGCTTTTTAGACGCTAAAACTATCTATGAACCTACATATTTTAAGGCATGCAGTAGTTAAGCGTACTAACTGCGTCCGTTACAATATTAACTTTACATCAGGTGTAATGTTTTTTGACGTAATTAAGCTCTTTCTACGCTATATTATTTAATATACGGTATATTATTCGAACTAGCTTTATGCCCGCTACTTCGTACGTGTGAATTTCAGAAATAACAACACCTACGTAATAAACCGCTTCTTGATGGCATATCAGGATAAAACATCTGCCTCTCTTACTCCATCCAACTTGGTGCATTAATTTTTGTGTAATGCTAAAACAAACATACAGACAGACAGACAAAATTTCTAAGATATATTTCTAGCATCTATTAGTCTTATTAAGATTTCTCATATTATTTTTTCTTAATCATTCCCTGTGCATAGACATTTTTTTTTAGTTACAATTTTATTATATTAGTGATATATACTCTTACACTGACTAGGTTTTATTATTTGTAATAGTTTGTAATATATTTTATACTCAAATTAGTAATTAATTGTAAAATAATTTTTATTTTATACATTAAATATTTTTATTTTTATTTATAAATTCTGGAATGATAAATTAAATATTGTTTTTATAACATCAACATGCTGTGTACTAAAACTATTAAAATAACTTATCCTTGATGTACAAAGTAAGAACCATGTCGTGTTTTTCTTTAATTTATAAAAGTCATTATATAAATAAGTAATAAATTTAAAATTAACTAAACTTAATAATGACAATATTATATACAGGGAGGTTCCATGCCTAACACCTCATCGAGTGTGCCATTCCTGCTGTCGTCTTCGATGCAGTCTATTCGTTCGCGGCGCCCATCTGCTTGCCTCAGCAACTCCCAGGGCTCAGGTCTGCTGCAGCAATTAAGCAGCGGCATGGTAAGACATCTACCCATCGGCTCTGCTGGAAATGTGCAGGTACACGCGCCTCACTGGCCGTTCCAAGGCGGAGGCGGAAGCTCCTACAGTGCAATGCAAAACTCCTCTGTGAGGAAGTGCCCCTCACTGAATATTACCCTCACGCGCTGAATGCTCTCGCAGCTGCATACGACCTGCCTCCTCGCAGTCGCCGAAGAGGACGCTCTAGTCCATTTCGTGCTCTTTATCACGGTCACTTCAGTGTCGCGGGAGTAGCGAGACGACATACTGCCGCTGCCTCATCGCCACTCCAGTGCCACGGTGACGCACCATTGGCACACCAATGCCGCACCATTGCCGCGCATTCGTCGCGCCGCGCTTTGGTCACTTTGCAACAACAAACGTCGACCCTTGGCTAATTTTCACTATTGATTATAACGATCGATTTAATTTGCCTGTAACGGCGATCCCCGTCCGATCCCTCCATGTTGAGTAGTTTATCTTATTGGTGTTGTACTTAATATTACATTTTTTAGATTTAATTTGCGATTAGTTATTTAGAAAAAAAATACTCTATTGGTTTTATTTATCTCTACAAATAGTAATTTTCTGTTAAGTATTATACAAGACTGGTGTCGCTTACGAAATAATTATTTATATTTGCTTTAAAAGTATGCCAGCAAATGTTTGGAATGGAAAACTGTAAGCTTTAATCGGTAAAATGTGGACATATCACTTCTTCGTCGATCATTAAAAGTGTCCAATTTTGTTAAATTAAGAAATTAAATATTAATATACTTAAATTGAAGAAATGTTACAAAACTGATAAAATACAGAAAGATGTTGTATAATGGTGCTGTGATATGGTATTGTTATATTTATTAGATTCTATTATAGAATTTAACTCCTTCTGTTATTAATGAAAATGCGATACCTAAATCTTGTAGGCCAAATTAAAAGTATTGGCTATAAATATTAAAGAGTTCGTGCCAAATGTACCTACTACATTAATTATTTCTGTAACTCTCACACAATATTTATTTTTATCTATTTATTAATGAGAAATTAATCATTAATATGTACGTAAACAGTAAGTAAGTGGCAAGTATACGATATTCTCGCAATTGTTCAACCACTTACTGATTTTTAAACTACCTATAAATCGTCAGACCAAGTTCTGGGTTAGAGACATTATTCATTAGTAATTTAATCACTACGTATGAATTTTATTAACGGTTGATTAAATTACCGCAGTTAAAATAGGCGTTATTAAATGTTTCATACCTTATTATACAAGTGAATAAGGTCTTTAAAAGTTAGTACGTATTTAGATATAATTGATACTTCTCAGATGTGTACCTACTAAGTAAGGTTCCTTCAAGATTACATATATTATTCAGTCATTATAATTTAGATAATTAAATTATAATACAGATCATATTAGAACTTTAAATGCTTGAAGGCTCACCGTAGTGCTGTCCTTGTGGCAGAAATTTCTTTACACTCAAAAATCCTTGTAAAAGTTTCTTATAAGTAATATATCATCAATAACATAATATTATAGAAAATCATAAACGCATCATAAATGCATGCCCTGCTTATGCTTTTTCATGCATATGGATCTTAAACTTCCCTTTAAAATTAAAAGAAAAGTGAACGGTGCTTAATACTGACGTATTAATCTATATATTCGAATTAATAATAATCCAAATATAGCAAACAATTAAACATTTTATAAAAAAAAATATAGTACGGTGACTAGATATTATCATCTAGTGACAAACAAGTTTGGTTAATGGTAAATAAAAATTTATGTAATTATCATACTTACATTTAGTACACACACAGTAGTTTTACATAGTTATTTACACTAAATTAATGTTATCATTATTTTATGATAATGACAATAGTCTCTTATAAAGGAAACCTACATTACCCATATTTAAATCCGAGAAACAACTGCGGTGAATGCGACGATAAGAACAAAAAATAAAAACGACCCTTATCAAATTAGCACTAACGTTTTTTTTTTATATCTCGAGTTTAAATTGATATCAAAATTTAGATTGGAAGCTCTCTAAGCTTAGATATTTAGTTTGCTTTGGCTTCACTTAAGCGTACGTGGACTGTGTAGTTTTTTTTATTAAATAGTTTTCTCGGTAATTAGGTGATTATTGAGACGATAGTTCGGCTCGATGCCAGCACAGTAGACGTAGAGCTTGGTAGCGTAGTGGAGCGGGCGGGCGGGGGCCGCGCGGCGCCGCGGCGGCAGCGAGTCGACCGCGACCTCCGGCCTCGCACGCGCTTTGATTTTAATCACTTTTTATTATGGTTGCTTGCAGTACCAGCTGTTTTCCGGGCGTTAATAAGAGATTTGATTAACGTTAGAGCCGCGTAGCGTATTCGAGAGCGGCTCGGCACAAGCGGCGCGGCCGCAACACCGCAGCTCGCCGCTCGCCGCCCGTCCGCGCTTCGCCGACGGACGCTGATCTGAACTGATCCATGAGCTTCTTATCACTTAAAGGGATTAAAATTTAACTATGTTTAATTCAAACTATATCGCCAAATTAGAGTAGAAACATGTAAGTGTTAAGCATCGGCCTAAAATTATTCTGAGGATTTGTCTAAATCAAGAAGAACGAAACATGAAGATATTTTATGGGGAAAACGTAGGAATGCATTGCATGCTGTTACACCTTTAATACTTACTAAGGCGGTCTGATAATACTGACCACCTACCATAGTACTGTGCATCTTGTATCAAAATGTTTACTTTGAAATTTGCAAGCTAATTCTCATCTTAGTACTTTTGTAAAAAATATTTGTAATCAGATTACTGTAAAAATACATTCTTGATCGTTATCTAATTCAGGCACGTCAAAATAGATAAAACTAGTGAATGATATTTAAATACATGTTGCATTATTGATATGTCTTTATTGGTTCACAGTGATCACACATCCAATGCACTATCTTCCTTCTCATTGTATTATGAGATTTACGCTTTTGTATGCACTGAATTCACATCTTTACATTTAAAAGAGTACTTAACTTCAGGTTCAATATATTAATAGGAGTCAAATTAAACGTTAACGTAATGCATTATACAATAATCTTGAGGGAATCATCATTTTAAGGAGATTTAGTACGACAAAAATAATGTAGGTAATTTATTTTTGAGATACCTATCTTATATTGCATTATAAACACTTTGACGTCATAAAGTTAATATATTATAATCTATAAATGCTAGTGTGTTGTCCTTGATGGATTAGAGAATAGTGAATGGTGTAAGCCATAGAATATCAGTATGTAATAATTTAATGAAACTAGATTTCATTGATCGCGTAAAATTAGTTCGCGACTTTACTTAAAATTAAATAAAAATGTGATAGGATTTCAATGTGTATCATTAGGTACATAAATCTGAAGTGAGAAGGGTGCCAAACACTATAAAATTTAATTTATGTGATACATCTAAGTCAAATAAGTTTGACTAAAAATATTCGAAATAATATATTTTCTTACAATTAGGAATCATATTTTCGAAAATCTATTTACGTATTTCAATAAAATATTTACTCCATTTTGTTTATTTCAATAATTAAATTTAAATATATATATTAGAAACGTTTGTTAAAATCTAATGTTTTATCTAGTCTGTCGTTAAACGATAGACAATAATTAGAAAAAAATTATCATTTTGAAAAACATCATAGATGTTGCACCAGTTAATTACTTACTACTTAGAGCTCTAAAAACAAGGGCGCTATTAGTAACAGAAGAAACAACACATCCGTAATAGCCGTCATCATCATAGCCATTATCATTAAATTCTTGCCAGCCTCTTTATTAAGCTATATATGCATAATTTATGTGCCAATCAGTGGCCAATATGCAGCAGCGGACATTGAGTTGCGAAAATGATGATTACGAAGAGTTACATACTTTGGCAGATTTAGGCAGACACTTTAATATCCACTAATTGAAAAATACCCAGCGGTGTGATATTAATGTGTTATTATCACACTTTAAAATATTTACATATTTTTATAAATTCAAATGCGGAACTAAATACATACCTTATACTCGTAGAGTAGAAAAATACCAACAATTGTCATATGTAGATACTAAGGCTTTATAAAAGCAATCTTCAAAGTACCTTTGAATACTTTCATAAATTTACTGCGACTTTCTATATATGTACTTATATATTACTTGTAATTCGTTGTGTTCAATAAACAACTCGATTATGAATCGCGCGCAAAAAGTGTCCAATTCCAATCTCTCAACAGCTAATAGGCAAAAATTGCATACAATATTAAAAGATTATATTTTTTAAATAACTATTGATAGTTAATAATATAAAATATTGTTACACATTGCTTAATATATATTAAAAAACTTTTACTTTATGTACACAACAGCTCTTGGGCACTTTTTGTAGTTGTTTGTGATTGTAGATATATCTAGTTTCTTTATAACACGATAGATTAATGTAAACTTTCCAAACACATCCATATCCAGTACCTATTTTAAAGTAATTGCTATAAAATTCCTATATATTTTTCTGAATATTTTAAATAGTAATGAAAATATATTTTCACAATTTTTACAATAGTTTCCTGTTAATTCAATAGTTTATAACGTCATGAAAACATAAAAATTATGCTGCATAATATATCTTTATAGAAACTTATAAATGTAAATACCTATATATATATATATATATATATATATATATATATATATATATATATATATATATATATATATATATATATATATTTACACTATACCTTTGCATAGCAATAAAATCAAATAAAATTAAAAGTTGATAAAATCAACCATATATTTTTCGCAACGCATTAGTGATAAGTCTGTGCTCACAAAGATCGATTTATCAGAAATCCATTAGCAATAGACGAGCACTTATCTATCACATCTAAAATCTTTAAGTTGCATAAATATAATTTATGCAACTTAAAGATTTTAGATAGATACCAACATTAACTTTACCAAATGTTAGTTAACACTTTGTCACTTGAATATTTATTAGACTACAAATTATTTATTAGAAATAATAATAATAATAAACTTTATTTTCTTAAACAAAATAAGCCTGTAGTACAATATAACTATGACCACAAATCATATGTTATAACAATCTTGATTATATAGAGACTTTAATTTCTAAATATATATGTGAAATTTGTATTAAAGATAAACGTACACCATACGAAATCATATTAGATATTTATTAAAACGTAGATCATTCATTAAGGTTGATTTTAACAATATTAAATTACTCACTTTCATTCCAAACAGGAAATTTAATTCAATGAATTATTTAAATGGCTAAAATAAGTTTATTAGACATTTAACTTTTTCTTTTAATGTTCGAGATCGAAGAAAAAAAAACATTAGATTGGATACTAGCTTTAGTAAGATACATAAAACATTAACCAACTACACTTTATCGCAACAAGAAACAATTAATCTGTTTCGTTAATTAATGAAATATTCAAGATATAAAAAGATTGAGAATCAAAACCTGAATATCTCTTATAATAAAATATCTTCCAGCATTAGTTAATTTCACTAATAGATAAATAAATTATTTTTATATCTGAATACATCAAATACTGATTTATATATTGTACATAAGAGCACGTAAATATTGTATAAATAATTATAATTTATATAATTATTTTGCGTATTGCAATTTATTTTGTCATATTATATTTAAAACAACAGAAACTGGGTTGATTTGACCATTGACCTAAAGATTTTATTATGTATTTGAACGTATGTTTCTAGAATTATATTTTTTAAAGTCTTTAAGTATTGTATACATTCAAAGTATACAATATTGATGGTAATCAACCTATTAAGTAACGCCTACCTTATGAAGTACCTTTAATAGTCAAACAAAATATAATATTTTATGACCATTTACATAATTTTCAATAATAATTATATTGCATTCCATAAATTATATTTTTATATATATGAATATAATGTAATAGATAATAGTGTAAACTGGATGTTACGCACACTTACAATTCAGTTAATAACTTAACATAAAACATATTTACTCATTTTCATAATTCTCTTACCTGGCTAAATTGTATTAGAACAATGCATAAAAATGTGAAGGATTTTTTTGACAATGCCAATGAGATGCAAATAAAATAATGTAATCATTTTATACAGTTTGATTATTTATATCTCAGTTTATATCTCGTTCTCTATTTTTTCTGTCCAGTTTTTGTAATTACCATTACAGGGAACATTAATTTACTTAGAGGAAGTAAAAGACACAAATAATTTCAAACTTCCTTTGCCAGCTCTGACTCTCAATGGCTCACTTTGCTTCTTTTAGCTTTTGCTTTTTTTAGGGTGATAATTGAGCATAACATCTACTATAATAAAAGACCATTGCAACCCGCAAATCCTCAAGAGCATGCTACCAACCCTAGTAATGTGAAAATCTTGTGTCACATTGTGTATCTAGCAATAATTTCACTACAGTATCTTACTCTGCAACCAGAACACAACGTGCAAATACGATTAAGCTGCTTGTTTACTGAATTATTAGGTGAGATTAATTATCCAGACAACTTTGTAGAAAGTACAAACTTTGAATCCTTAATTAGGTAATAAGAATACAACTAAATCTTGGGCCGGCACTTTAAAATCACTTAATATCTTGTAATCGTACATTGTATATACAATTTGGTATTCAGAATCATATTTAATAAATTTTATATGTAGCGATATAACGATTTTTAATATAATACACATATATAAACATTTTAAATCTTTCACTGACAATATCTATATCGATCACTTGACCGCTCTATTTATATCGATAGTTCAAACATATAATTAGTATACGAAAAAGCCACTAAATATATCAAATAGATCTCGCGGCAAAAAGACTGCTACGTGAATTACCAACAATCTATCAAACTAATACTATCATATACTAACATGTAATAAACTTTCATTGCGAAGTACAGAAAAATCTAAATAATTAAGAAACCTAATTAAATATGTAATAGACACTTTTTTTATTTATTACTTTGAACGACGATACGATGTCGACTTTCTGAAAATCGTTATTAATTGTAAAGTTATAAGTTTCTTCACAACATTTTTAAAAATGGCAAAATGTATAATTGTTATTAGCTATAACAATCCTCTGGTTGTTTGTAGCCTGGTTCTTCACTATACAAAGTATCCTAGTTTGAAAACCAGGTAATTCCAGCATTTACTTCTACACATATTTTATTGTGGTAATCAGTCTTTCACATTTTTATGAATTGTATATTTTTGTAGTTATCTTATATAAACCTATAGAAAATAAACAGTTTTGAATACAGTATTTAAGATGATCGAATACATTGGAGTAGATATATAATATGCAAATTTTTAATAATCATTCCAATTCATTCGGTCTCAAATTCAACGTTCAATGTTTGGTATACATTGTAATATCGTCTGTTTAACGTTAAAGGCAATCAAATATTTTAAAACATTTTTCTCTATCTAATTACATTCATAAGCATAAAAATATTCTGTATCTATCTGTATAAGTAACTACTTACATATTTGTAATATGTGTCTACTAGGGGGTCCACTTATTATAACTATAATCGTATTCGCTTCAGAGAGTTACTTAAGTTCAGATTTGATTTACCTAATCGTACTTCAAATCGAATTAATCTTTCGACTAAAAATTTATGAGCTTTTTAAATGCTTTCAGGAGGTATTGCTTTTATTGAATTATTTCCGCCTTAAAGTTGATAATATTTCTTTTCGCATTTAATAATACCTGAACCACTAATAATATTTCCAAAAAGTCTCCCTAGTTATTGACATATAAACGCGATATTTTTATATGCAACGTGTACCCACATTAGAAAAATGTAGGTGCACATTTTATAAATTAAATAATGATTTAAACTATCTACAAATAATATTTATTATTTATTAAATACCTATATTATAAGCTTATGTCCAAAAAGTGAGAAGTAGAGATAAGCTAAATAGCTTGGGCTAAGGTAATTTATCTTACTGATATCTTGGAACTAATGAGTCTTATTATATCGATGTTGTAAACCTTAAATACCTATCCTGAGAAATCTTTGCCTTCATTGTTATGAAATATTATAACGTCTTAAATATGTACACATATTTTATAATACATTGAAGAATATTTACCTTTATATAAATATCTAAGTAGTGATATTAAAATAATAATGCTTTTAATATACTATTATTTGAACTAAGCTCAAATTAATTGTTTTAGTTTTATTATTTTTTTACTACATACTAATAAGGATATGTGATCTAGCACAACAAATATAATGTCGCAATAACAAGATGTCATAAAAAATTTTGTTGGACGATCATGTCTCTAACAACATTTAGGTACTGATAATGAATGACATGTGTATATGACATACCTTTACGTATGCGCCTATTCGCCTTAAAACCGTGCTGGACATGCTTTTTATGATTAATTTTATCTTAATTTCATATAATATCTGCCTCTCTAGATAAGTAGCAAACGAATCATATATTCTAGATATATTTTTTGCACACATGAAATAGAAACTGAAATGTGTGGTGTTTTATTCTTTCACATGCGTGCGGTAACGGAAACATACATTTACAACTTGTCTATGAGGGTGGAATTGATTACAAATTCAAATACTTTCATTTATTCAGTTCCAAGAAAATTTCTATATTAGATATTGAATTCATTCTTCTACGGGTTGTGGCGTTTGCTCAGTGTTAGATACCTACGAAATAAGATTTATGTGTGCATATTTCAATATAAACTTTTTGAAATACTCAATGTGATTCTACAATATTATATATCAACCTGTATCTAGATAATATTTAACATATTTATCAATATCGTGCTATCTTGTGATCTCGTTCTTGCGAATAGAACTTCTTTAAACCTTGACTGCTATCTTTTCTAAGGCAAAGAAAAAATGTTCGACAATACTTTTGTATGCTCTTTCTTAATCCTCGCAGTTTGATGCGAATTTGCATTCTTTATAAAATTATAAATAGACGAATTATCACGTTTGAGCTTACCGTTTGAAAATTTATGATCTCATTCAATCTATACTAAATAAAATACTTAAGTAAAAATTGTTGCCTTAATATAGGTTTTTTGAAGTCTCATAATTTTAATCTTATTTAGACTGATATTATATTTAAAAAATACTATATAAAGCTATTACAAACTTCACGTACCAAATGTTTGGACATATCATTTGTAAGATCTTCCTTTTCCTATCACTGTCACTTTACGAATATATATCTTAGTCCTATTCACTTTTGATGTACATTTATTATAGCGAACGTAGTACGATAATTCATACAAACGTCTTAACAATTGTTAAAATAATATTAAAAGTATTATGTATAATTAATCTGCATGTGAATGTTGTTGTGAAATGAATATCCATTAATAAATAGATTTAACAGTTATTCTAGAAACCACACTTCTGAAGTGTAATGTGTTAATACTAAAAAAACATTCTTTTGGTTTTAAATTTTCGGTAGATTGAATGTTTTATAATAGAATAAATGTTTATTGCCGTTCAACAGTAATATTATGAAATAAGTATCGTATCAACGTTT